AGCCGTTCCGGTTGCCACTTCAGCGTCGTCTTGACGCCGTTGACTGGCCAACGCGGCCGAGTTGACGCGACGCCTGAAGCCGGCGAGTTGGAGCCGGGCTCGAACAGCGAAATCGTCCGCCGCACCAACCCAACGGGCGGGCTCACCGGCGCCAGGTCGACGCCGGACTCGCGTCTCGGCGCCAGCAACGAGCCCGAAGCACAGCCGCCGTTCTGCATGGCTCTGTTGGCCTAGCAACTGAGCAACACCGACAAATGCGATCCTCTGGGGGCGGGGGGGGACAGTTGAGTTGTCTGCAAGAAAGGGAGAAAAGCCGCATTTCCTTTGACCATTTCTCTCTTCATGCACCATTTGCCAATGCGATTCAAGATTTACCAGAAGACCTTCGGGCTACCAGTCGATCAGATGCATTATTCGTTTACATTAATTGAAGATATGAAGACCAAGATGTTGTGGCCTCTGGTATGGCCGCAGTCTCGTTTCGCTTTATAAAAGTGGGTTGACCTCGTTGTCGCAACTTGGTCTTGTTGTCAGGGCGGCTATGAAGAAGGCACCTATTTCGAAGTCGTCTGCCACAGTAGTTGTCATGAGAATGCATCAACTCCACTGTCTGATGCTGGGAATCATGGCAGGTACGTTCTGCTAAATCGCCCTGACAACAAGACCAAGTTACGACAACGAGGTCAACCCATTTCCGTTTGAATAAACCTTACGCTTCCGTTGAATTTAACATGGCCTTACATCCCAAAAAGTGTCTTCGTCCAAGTTTCAGTGGACTGCAGTTTCAACCTTGCTCGAACTAATCTCCTCAGCATCTCCAGCGGGACTCGAACAATGCCTATCATCTCGACATGGTAACCCCTACAAATTACCACCCCAAGTGGCCTTGAGCCATTTTTCCATATTATCATCTGTGCTGGGAGTGTCGATGAATAAATTTTCCACCTGATACAGAAATTGACTATACTACTCATTTTTCGTTTACAAGTAGGCCTTGGAGACTAACAATAGATACTATATGTGATAAATCGTATAGATTACTCATCTGATTATGGAAAAATGCAACAATCACCCTCCATGACCATAAACGAGATTGGGTGAATACATCTCATATTAGTAGACTGCAATTTCAACCTTGCTTGAACTAATCTCCTCGGCATCTCGAGCAAGACTCGAACAATGCCAGTGCGGCGTATCATCTCGAAATGGTTACCACTACAAATTACCACCTTAAGTGCCTTTGAGCAATTTTTCCATATTATCTTTTGTGGTGG